TAACTTACATGCAGGCAAAACACCCATACACAAAAAATAAAATCTAAAAATACCTAAAATAGAAAACAAACAAATTGCTGAACATTTCATTCTTCTTTTGAGCTTCCTGCTGTTTTTTTTTTTTTTTTTTCCTGGCTAGAAACCTGACTACTTGATCATAAATTTATTTCTAATTTATACAAAATATAGAGAGGTTTTTCTTGAACTTTTCCAGAAAGGACGTTAGAATGGAATGTTCATTTTGGTGGGCTCTGCATCAGTCAGTATTTATAGCTGTCACATTCCTGGTAAGCCTGTGTAGATGCATGCAATGTCATTTTTAGAATAGTCTTGACTGAGGATTTACATATTGAAATGACTTTGTTTTGAGATAGGGGGTAACTTGCTATTATGTCCAGGCTGACTTTGAACTCCTGAGCTCAAGCATTCCTTCTGCCTCTACCTTTGGGTAGCTGGAACTAAAGGTACTCCATTGTGCGTGCCCCTAGGTATTAATTTTAAGACTAAGTGTGCAGATAGGGCATTATCTTTGAACTTCATTTCAGGATAGCAAAAGAGTGTTAACAGAGATGTTAGAAAAATGAAGTTTGAAAAAAGAATCACTTTTTGAAACAGGGTTTCTCTGTGTATATAGTCTTGGATGTCCTAGAATTAGCTCTCTAGACCAGTCTGGCCTCAAACTCACAGAGACCCACCTGCCTCTGCCTCCTAAGTGCTGAGATTAAAGGCATGCACCACTGCCTGCCCCTCCCCCCTTTTGAGGCAGGGTCTCATGTATCATACGCTGTCCTCCAAGGATGAGTCTGGAGTTCTAAATTGCCTGCTTACATCTCCCAAGTGCTGGCATTACAGGCATGCACCACCACATCCAGTTTGTTCGGTGGTAAGGACTGAACACGGGGCTTCACACATGCTAGGAAAATCTTTTACCAACGGTAATACATCCCCAGCTCAGATTTTGAAGGAGTTGAAAACTACTGAAGTAAAAGACATGCAAGAGGGTCAGTGAGAGGGTCAGTGGGTAAGGATCTTGCCACTGAGCCCGGCAAGCTGAGTTCAATCCCTGGGTCTCACAGGTGGGAGAGAACTGAATTCTGATAGTTGTCCTCCAACCTCCATGCACACACAAGCAAGTGTGCGTGTGTGCACGAGTGTGCGCGCACGTGCGTGCACATACACACAAACAAATGCTTTTTAAAAATATACACCAAAAGAGCTCTCTTGTATTCTTTGTATGTTTTTTTTTTTTCATTTAACTAACTAATGAATTTGTTGGCATGTATGTCTCTGTGAGGATGTTGGATGCTGGAACTGGAGTAACAGACATTTGTGAGCTTCCATGTGGATGCTGGGAATTAAACCCAGATCCTTTAGGAGAGCATGCAGTGCCCTTAACCACCACTGAACCATCTCTCCAGACCCTCATGTAGCCTTTGTAAAAGTGTTGTTCTAAATATGATTATTGATGAGGTTTCTTGTACAAATTCTTTCTGTGTAGGTTCACCTGTCTTGGCTACTTGGTATTGACAATACCTGTTTTGGTGTGTGTGTGTCTCTTGTTATTTGGTTCATTGTTTTTTCCAAGACAGAGTTTCTCTGCATAGCCCTGGCTATCCTGGAACTCACTCTGTAGACCAGGCTGGCCTCAACTCAGAGATCCACCTGCCTCTGAGTTCTGGTATTAAAGATGTATGCCACCACTGCCTGTTTTTGGCTTTGTTTGATACAAGGTCTCACTATGTAGCCTTTGCTATCCTGGAACTCTATGTAGGCTAGGCTGTTCTCAGTCTCACAGAGATCCACCTGCCTCTGCCTCCCAAGTGCTAGGAAAAATGTGTGTGCCACCCCACTAGGCTCTGTTTTGTTCAGCAAAGATAAATCTCTTTCTTTACCACTTTTCAGAATGTCACCTATGCTTAAGTGGTGGGTGGGGCTTGGGGGACACCCTTGCCTATAGACAGTCTTCCATCTCTTACTGCAGGACCATTTAAATCTTGGTAATTATTTATCTATCTTTGTTTCCATGAAGGGCATCTAAGATTCGTAGACAAAGTCCTTCATCAAGGATACCCAGGAAGTCTATGACAGCACCATGATGAAAACCAGGTCTTTGAATTCAGGGGCTGCACATGTAGGGCTGTTTCTACACACAGCATGCCTCCCCCTGGCCCCGTAAAGGAGACTGAGGGCTGCCCTGGGTTTGTAGGCTGCTCCTTCGCTAATCTGCCCAGCTCTGGGCACCCAGGTCAGAGGCTGAAATGAGGTCTGAGCAGTAGGTGAAGTGGCCCCAGCGATTATAAGGAACTCCTGAAATGGGGCCACAGAGATGGGCAAGGAAAGACCTTCCAAACTTTGGCAGAAGTTATGATGGAGGATGTGTGTGTTTGGGGATATTCATGCCAAAGCCATGATTCTCTCCCCTCAAGCTTTCTTGAGTCACTTGCCCCCTAAGGTTGGGACACATTCTTGAAGGAATGGTCACAGGGGTTCCCCTGCATTTTCATCCTCTAGGCAGTTTCTGTCCTCTGGGGACTGAAACCACCTTTCCCCTGCCTTGGACCAATATCCTGAGCCAGAGGAGGTTGGAGGACAGACACCTGAAGCTCATTTCCAATGAGGGGTTTAATTTCATTCAGACGAACCTGATTGTCCTTTCCCTCCCTGTCCTTAGATGCTCCTCCACACGCCATCCTTAGGGGCCAGTCTGCGTTGGGCCAGGACTAGGCAGAGATTCAAATATTCCTCCCTTCCATCTTGCCATTTCCGAGCCCTGGCAGAAAAACAAAAACAACCGCTTGGCCATAGGGAGCGGCTCCAGCGATTCAGGCCGCGGGGAGCAGCGCCCTCCTGTGGCCTCCAGAAGAAGCGAGGCTCTTGGCCCAACCCCTTCCTTTCTATGCGTTCATCGAACAAGAATTTATTGAGAGCCACCGTGTGCCAGGCTGCTCAAGGCTCAGGGGCCAAGTCAAATAAGATACCGCTTCATGGGCTGTAGAGCTGTAAGTGTGTGGTGAGGCCATAAACCACAAACAAATGATAAATAAGGTTACTAGTAGTGATGAGTGCTAGGTGAAAAAACAAAACAGAAATGTCAGAGAATGACCCCAGAGGGAAGGTTCCTAGAGTTAAGTCATATTTGAGATAAGACCTAGGCTCAAGGATCCAGGCGTGTGAGGACCAAGGGAGAAAGCGTTCCTTGCAGAGAACAGCCTTTTCATTACACAGAAAGGGGCTGGGGGCTGGAGGGTAGGAGGGTAGGAAAAAAGGCGGCAAGGAGAGGGATGGAGATGGGTTCAGGAAGGTGGGTGGGCTGGTGCTGTCACCAGCCGCAAAAGATGCAAGTTGGTGTCGCCAGCTGGGAAGCCGGAGGCGTTCCCTTTGGGTACTCGGGTCCTCTATTCAGGGAGAGCAGCTTGCAGCTGGAGAAGGGAGTGCCCGCACACGCAGAAATCAAAAAGGGGTTGGACTCAAGGCATAGCTCATTAACATGTGTGTGAGAGAGAAGGTGCGTGGGGGTTGGGGGCGCACTCCTCACTTAGTACTCCAGCCCCCCAAGCAGTTGGGATTACAGGCCTGTGCCATCAGGTTCAGGTGAGAAAGACTTTGTGTGTGTGTTTGTGTATCTGTTAGTCCATGTGTTTTGCTTACGTATATGTCTGCCCCTCCAGCGCGCGTGTGTGTGTGTGTGTGTGTGTGTGTGTGTGCCTTGTGCCTGAGAAGACCAGAGGAAGGGATGTCGTATTCCCTAGAGTTACAAAGTGTTCTGAGCTGCCATGTGGGTGCTGGGAATCAAACCTGGGTCCTCTGGCAGAGAAGCAAAATTTTTAAAAATTTATTTATTACTATTCGGCCCTTGCGTATGACCCAGCAGAAGGAGGGGCATCGGATATTATTATAGATGATTATGAGGCACCATGTGGTTACTGGGAATTGAACTCAGGACCTTTGGGAGAACAGCCAGTGCTCTTAACCTCTGAGCCATCTCTCCAGCCTGCAGGAAGTGTTCTTAACCATTAAGCCATCTCTCTAGCCCTTCAAAAAATTTAAAAGAACCCTCAGCTATGGGTAGTAGCATATGCCTTTGAGCCCAGCAGTCAGGAGGCACAGGCATGCAGATTTCTGAGAGTTCAAGACCAGCCTGGTCTCTGTAACAAATTCCAGGTCGACCAGGGTTACATAATGAGACCGTGACTCAAAAATACAACAAAATCCTTATGGCTGCTCTATGAAAAATGGACTTTGGGAAAGAAGAAAGAGGCAAAGCCAGAAAGATTATTGCAAAAGGCTAACGGGCTACTGAAACAATTCAGGTGGGAAATGATAGTGACTTGAATGCTAGAGCTGGTGAACATGGTTGGATTCTGGGTATATTTGGAAGGTAGAATCAATAGAATTTGATAAAGGACCACATTCTTTTTGCTCCCGGATCTCTCTCTCTATCTGTCACACACACAGACACACACACATACACACACAGACACACACACACACACACACACACACACCACTTTCCAAAATTAGCCCATCTAACAAGTGGGGCCTCTACCTTGTGTCTCCTTCACCCTGTCTAATCGTCCACAAGCCTAGTTATCTATTAGTTTCTTGTTTGTCAAATGTGTGTCTGTGACCCCTAGGCGATATTGTTGACACCCAAACAGCCCTGGATTTGTGGTGTTAATATTTGATACAGGACAGCGAGGGGCAACAGAATCTGGTATGGTCCTCAGTTACGCCTGGCTATTTATGCAAAACACAGTGAGGTCAGACCTGATGCATATACACAAGCCGGGCACCTCTGAAAGGTCTGGGAAAGGCTAGATAAGTTTTACAAACAGGCTGTCAGGGGTCAGACACCAAGTAGAGGAGGACATGACCAGTATTTTCCGGAGCCAACAGGCTTCGCTTTTGTGTTGCTGTGCTGTGCTGACAGGTATAAATGCAGCCAGCCAGAGCGCCCCCACACTGCACAGCTCCCAAGATTCTATGCAAGTCTTTCCAAGATGAAGCTGCCAGGACAAGAGGATTTTGAACATTCTGGTGCTCATGAAAATGTTCTTGCAGAGGAACTGGACAGTGGCCTTGGCCCTGGCCCTAGCCTTGATGGCCCCTCAAACACAGACAATGGGGAGCTGGGGGCATCCAAGGACCCAATGCTCTTCGTTCAACTAAATGAGCTGCTAGGCTGGCCCCAGGCACTGCAGTGGAGAGAGACGGGCAGGTGAGTGGCTAGTTCTGTAGCATCCTTCCTACCTCAAAGTGGGATTTTTGTTTCCTTTGTCTTCTTCTCTGCATTAGACTCAGCTTCTTCTACAACACAAAACCAATGTGGTTTTGAGCTCTCTGAGACCTAATGAGGGGTAAATGCTCAGGGAGAGAGATGCTGAACAACTGGGCCAAAGGCAGGCACCCTGCCCTACCTATGTCCCTGACACGGGAGAAATTCTCCCAACAACACTGTCTATCCCTCCATCACAGGTGGTTGCTGTTTGAAGAAAAGCTAGAAGTAGGCGCAGGCCGGTGGAGTGCCCCCCATGTGCCTACCCTGGCACTACCCAACCTCCAGGAACTTCGAAGACTGTTGGCTGAGGGCATTGTACTGCTGGACTGTCAAGCTCAGAGCCTCCTGGAGCTTGTGGGTAGGCTGGGGAAGACATTCCGTTTCGTGGGAATTTCTCTTAAAGTCTTAGGATCTTCCAGAGCTTATCCTAGCCCAGGGATTTCCTATTTCTGTCACAGAAATAGTGATGGTAAAGCAGCTGGGCGTGGTGGCACCTGTCTGTAATCTCAGCACTTGGGAGGCCGAGGCAGGATGATCGCTGAAAATTGGGCAGACTGGCTTATGTAGTGAGACCCTTGTGTCAAAACGAGAGGGGGGAGTTCATTGGCTCTTGAATTTCCTGAGACTCAGAGGAAGAAGTGGGCAAGGGAGCCAGTGGAAGGACAGAGGTGTTGGGAGAGGCTTTGAACTTCACATCTGTTCTCCAGAGCAGGTGGTCGGTGAGGAGTCATTGAGCCCAGAACTGAGAGGGCAGCTTCAGGCATTGCTTCTGCAGAGACCCCAGCACCACATCGAGGCCACAGGCAACAGGCCCTGCAGAGGTGAGAGATTCCTCTTTGGGCCTGGGATCAAAACTCTGGGATCAGAGGATCCCAGGTATCTTCTTTGTTTTTTTTTTTTTGTTTTGTTTTGTTTTGTTTTTTTTGTCTTTTTTTTTTTTTTGAGCCAAATCCTCAGGCTGAGGTTCGTGGGCCAGAAGAAACTGTTGGTAATGGTGAAGGCAGTAGAGTGGGAGTGCCAGGGGCCTAGCAGCCAGGGCTCTTCAAAGAGGCGTGCTTGGCAGGCACCGGGCCAGGAGCCTCACAAGCAGTGTCTTCTCATTCAGTCTTCAGTTACCCTGGAGGGTGGCATCACAACTGCCCCCAGCCTGGGACGCCCTGGTGGGCCTGTCCCTGAAGCTGTGCTCTTCTTAACCACGCTGTGTTCCTGTTCTTGCAGGGTCTAAGGCTTTCAGAACCGCCTCTCGTGATGAGGACACCCTCCTGAAGGTTTGTGGTCCTTCCTCGGGCAAGGCTGGCAGGAAGACGATCAGAAATTAACAGAGCCCCACCTACCATCAGGCTGTTGAGTTTCTGCCAACATCACCCTCCTTCAATAACCTCTTGTCCTCTGTCATCCAGCACCAGAACCCCTTGAGACAGAAGCTGCCTCCAGGAGCTGAGGCAGCAGCCGTGTTGGCAGGAGAGCTGGGCTTCCTGGCACAGCCACTAGGGGCCTTTGTAAGACTGCGGAATCCAGTGGTTCTGGAGCCTCTTACAGAGGTGATCTTGCCCAGCAGGTGAGGTGACTGAGCTAGGGCTCGTGGGCCCAGAAGAAGGGCCTTTACTGAGGAGCCAGTTCCCTGAGAGTGTGTAGGAAATGCTCCCTAGGGGTGGTTCGGCAGAGCTGGTGTGTACTTGAGCAGGTAGGGAGGTCAGAGGTCAGAGCTAGGTGTCAGTCACAGGCTGTTCTAATCAGCAGGAGTGCTGCCCCATGAGGAAGCATCCTGGAAGCCCCATTCCTTCTTCAGGTTTTTCTGCCTCCTTTTGGGTCCTCCCACCCCAGGAAGGAGCTACCATGAGATGGGTCGGGCAGCAGCGGTCCTCCTCAGTGACCCAGTGAGTGGGCCAGGCGTTCCTCTGCGTGCATATGTGCAAATGTGTGTGCGTGTATGGAACATGTGAATGCACTGTGTGTATGTGATCAGGAGTAACAGTGAGGCAGAGTGCAGCTTTGTTTCTGTGACACGGGGGCTGAAGTCTCCGGATCTACCAATGTAGCTGTAATACTGGCCCAAGGTAGGCACAGAATGAATGAAAGAAGGAATGAGTGTATGTGTATGTGTTTACGAGTAAACACATGAATTTGCTTGTAGCCTGGGCGAGTGTGGTTTTGGGAAAATACAAGTTAAAACACATGAGTCCAAACATACACTCACCGTCCATTCTGTGGGCTTAAATGCAGCAGTTCCAGTGGTCAGCTCGTCGGGCAAGCAATCTTCATGACCTCTTGGCAGCCCTGGATGCCTTTCTACAGGAGGTGACAGCTCTACCCCCAGGTCGGTGGGACCGGACAGCCCGGATTCCCCCGCCCAAACGCCTACCCTCTCAGCACAAAAGGTACCTGGGGTCATAATTTCACACAGATCTTTCCCTTGGTTATGGGTCTACCGCGATCCCCAGCTAAGCTTGGCATTCACACGCTGGGACTGTGACCCGGATCTAACTTCTGTCTGACAGTTTGAGGATGCCCTCAGCTCCCGTCGCAGTAGCCTCCAGGGGGCGGGGCATCAACTACTCTAGAACCAAATCTCAGGTTGGCTGGAGATGTCAGCCAGTCTGGGGTTCCCATTCTGCCCAGGCTCCCGTCAGAACTGCAGGAGGTCACCGGGCTCTGCCTCCAGAGTGCGGCCCTGACAGAGGACAAGCACCACCATGGGCCCCACGCACCCAGCCCAGAATTGCAAAGGACCGGCAGGTGAGGGGAGCTGGGTTGGAGCAAGGGTTGGGATCCTGTGGAAGAGTCACAGGGGCATCAAAATGTGTAGACAATGCGGGAGGGGCGACGCTGGATACAGAGAAAAGCAGGAGGCAGGCGTGAGATGAGGAATCCTGGATCGCTGACGACCCACGGGCGGGAGGCTGTTTGGGGGTCTTATTCAGGACGTGCGCCGGAAGGCATGCTGGTACCCCAGCGATTTCTTGGACGCCCTACACCCCCAGTGTTTCCCGGCTGTGCTCTACATTTACCTGGCTACAGTCACGAATGCCATCACTTTTGGGGGTCTGCTGGGAGATGCCACTGAAGGTGCCCAGGTGCGTGGGTTTGTGTAATGGGATTGGCATAAACTCTGGACACCGCTTGCCTGGCCTCTTGGGACTGCGAGCAGGGCTGAGACCCCACAGAAGCTTGGGCTCCTATGTTGGGATTCCCGGGGGTCCTACGGTGAGCTCTGTCCACTTCCAGGGAGTTCTGGAGAGCTTCCTGGGCACAGCGGTGGCTGGAGCTGCCTTCTGCCTAATGGCAGGCCAGCCTCTCACCATCCTTAGCAGCACGGGGCCAGTGCTGGTATTTGAGCGTCTGCTTTTCTCTTTTAGCAGGTAGGAGACCTCTCCCACCTCACCAGCCCATGGGTGGGCACATCCTCAGCTGGTCCTAAGTGGGTGAAGAGAGAGGGTGGGTGCTGTCTCTGGCTCGAGGGTGCGTCTGACCTGGGATTAGATGCACACAGCCCTGTCTCTCACTCCCACAGAGATTACAACCTGGACTACCTGCCCTTCCGCCTGTGGGTAGGCGTCTGGGTGGCCACATTTTGCCTGGTACTGGTGGCTACAGAGGCCAGCTTGCTGGTGCGTTACTTCACCCGCTTCACAGAGGAAGGCTTCTGTGCTCTCATCAGCCTCATCTTCATTTATGATGCCATCGGGAAAATGCTCAACTTGATCCATGCCTATCCAATCCAAAGGCCAGGATCTCCTGCCTATGGGTGCCTCTGTCAATACCCAGGCCCAGGAGGTAGGGAAACTGGCATTTTGTCCTGGTGAGGAAAGAGGTGGGAAATGGACTAAGTTTGGCAACATGTTGGGCACTTCTCCAGTAGCCAGCAGTCCCCCTTCTGGTTCTGGACCTGTTACAAAATAAATCTATGGAGGTCGCAGTATTGTCCTCACCTCTGTCCTGATGGAAGAGTGTGGGTTCTACATACAGCTTCTTAAGAGTGAAGCCAAAATTACACTTACCCAACCAAGGACGGCAGCACTGGATGGGGGACTGTGTTGCACCAGAGGAGCAGAGCTGGCTACACCAAGCAGGCGAATTACTCCAGAGAAAAGGGAAGGGAAGGGCAGGACCAGGCACGCCTAGCTTCCTTTCCTAAATTCACCCATCAAGTAAATCATATCTGAGTGAGAGCAGATAAGTATGTGGAGAGGTCTGTGTTACACCTGCATGGATCCCTCCACGTGGAATGCAGCATCAGCCACAGGCAAAGTGTCCTTTGCAGGGAGGTGGTAGTCCTGGGTGAGACAGGGTCCCAGGTGTAGCCTGGTCTCCAATTCAATATTTAACCAAAGATGACGCTGAACTCCTGATCCTCCTGCCTCCATCTCCAACTGCTGGGATCATAAGCACGAGCCACCAACTACCAAGCTAAAAGTGTATCCTTTCTGTTTTCAAACACCTATTTAGTTATTACGTACACCGTGTTCTGTCTGCATGTATGCCTCCACACCAGAAGAGGGCACCAGATCTTGTTATAGATAGTTATGAGCCACCATATGGCGACTGGGAATTGAGCTCAGGACCTCTGGAAGAGCAGCCAGTGTTCTTAACCTCTGAGCCATCTCTCCAGGCCTTGAATTTCTTTTTTAATGTGTGCGTGAGTCTACTAGTCCTGAATGAGACCGGGTCTTGCTTTGGTACACATAAGTTTCTGAGCTCACAAATTTGGTCCATGTTTGATGCTCGGTGTTGTACTCAGTATCAGGGACACGGATGGGTAGAGAATCTGAGGGCACGAGTGTGTGGAGCAGCAACCTGAGAACGCACATAAGTGCAACAGAACCAGAGGGATCAGCATGAAGAACTTTCTCGTTTAGGTGGAATAACACGTTAGGATCCTTTGGAGAAAAGTTTCTCAAGGAAGGAGGGCTTACACCTGAATTATCTGCTTCCCAGGGAATGCGTCTGAGTGGACGAGCACAAAGCTTGAAGACACAGATCATGCCTTCAGCATGGTGAGAGCCTCCTCCTGAGAAGGTCCGAGAAGCCACAGAGTTGGTGGTGTTCGGCTTTTCCTGCCCATGGAGGGAAGAAAGCTTCATTGGTTACTTTCATTTAGCCTATGGCCCATCCTGAGTCCCTGATGTCTCTGCGGGTTCCCCTTCCTTTGAGGTGGGTCCAAGAGAGTGGGACACTTTCCTCTGTCGCCTATTGTCCAATAACTGACCACTCCACTATTCAGCACCTAGGCCTGGTCAATGCCTCCTTGCTGCCCCCGCCAGAGTGCTTCCAGCAAGGAGGCTACCCTCGCGGCCCTGGTTGTCATACTGTACCAGACATCGCCTTCTTCTCCCTTCTCCTCTTCTTCGCCTCTTTCCTTTGTGCCATTGCCCTCAAGCACGTAAAGAACAGCCGCCTCTTCCCCTCTGTGGTGAGTGCCATCTTTCTCTCTGTGGGAAAGGTCTGTGTTTGGCCCTAGATTCTGTCTGCAAATGGGAAAGGTTAAAAAAAGGAATGGGATGGCAGACCCCGACTAAACCACCCACTGTATGGCCAGGTACGCAAGGTGGTCGGCGACTTTTCCTCCGTCCTGGCCATCCTGCTGGGCTGTGGCCTTGATGCCTTTCTGGGCCTAGCCACACCAAAGCTCTTGGTGCCCACGGAATTCAAGGTGAGAGCTGGACCGAATGAGGAGGGGAGAGGATGGATAGTGGGGCCAGCAGGTTTGGAGTAATAAGATACAATAAATTCCATGCTTCTTTTCCTCTGAGCTTCTTCCTTCACTCATGATAGAGACAGTAAAAATAATGGCTTCACAGAATTGCTGAATGCGGTGTTCCAACAGACACATACGTGCATAAAGAATGCTGTATACAGTGGTTATTATTATTATAGGGTAGGTGTTGAAAGATGGGCTCTAGGTAGCAGGCCTTGGGTTTGAATTCCATTTCTGCCTCTTCCTAGCTTGCTCTAGGCATCTACTTTTAACATTTTTTTTAAAGATTTATTTATTTATGTACAGTTTTCTGCCTGCATGTGTGCCTGTAGCAGATCTCATTATAGAAGGTCATGAGCCACAATGTGATTGATGGGAATTGAACTCATGACCTCTGGAAGAGCAGCCAGTACTCTTAATCTCTGAGCCTTCTCTCCAACCCCTAGGCATCTACTTTTTAAAAGACAGAGTCTCGTGTAGTTCAGATTTTCCTCAAACTCCCTACGTAGCTGAGGCTGTCCTTGAACTCATATCCTCCTATTTTAAGCCCCTATCTGATCCCATATGCTGTGATTCCAGGCATGCATCGCGATGGGATAATTGAAAGCAGTCCTGCCATAGGTTGTTTTAGAGTTTACATATCATAGTTACTACAGTGCTTGGCACATACCGCAGTATCTCCTGCTGTTATGGCTTCTCCCTGCCATCGGCCCTACCCACTTCCGTACACCCTGCTCTTCTTTTCATCCCTCACTGTCGACTCAGATTCAGTAAAGCTGGAGCTTCTTCTGTAGGGCGTGACAGTATACAGGACCAGACTTTGCCTGGACAATCGGAAAACTTTCCCCCCAGGCCCCACCAGGGCAGAACAGCAAGGAGGCTCTCCAGGGGTGGCTTTAGGGCTCAGAACCCCCACCAACCGCCTGGGCCCCCTCCCCACCACAGACGCTTATAATCAGAGCAGACGCAGACACACCTAACCCTGCTCCACCTCTGCCAGACAGTGGTGGCAGGTCTGAACCTGAGCTGCCCTGTTCTGGGTGTGTATGTGTTGGGGGGGAGGGGGAACCTAAGAGGGCTGGGAAGGCTGGGAATAAGCACAAAGCAGTGTGTGCAGCCTGTATTCGCCATTTTTTCCTCCAGAGAAAGAGGGCCCCCGGGAACCAAAGTTCAGAGCCCTGCTTCCTTCTGTTCTTTTGAGGCACTGGCATACACTGGAGGAGGAGAGTAGTGTGTGTGTGTGTGTGTGTGTGTGTGTGTGTGTGTGTGTGTACATATGTCTGTGACAGTGCTCTCACCTAGCTTCTAAGGTCTTGGGAGCAAGAGGTGGATTGTGGGAGAGTGCCAGGGTGGGGATAGGGCTATGCAGGTGAAGCATTCTTGGGAGATGTTTTCCAACCAGTCCGTGGAATGTCCCCTCAGCCTACACTCCCCGGGCGTGGCTGGCTGGTGTCTCCTTCCGGAGCTAACCCCTGGTGGTTGAGTGTGGCAGCTGCTGTGCCTGCTCTACTATTGTCTATCCTTATCTTCATGGACCAGCAGATCACGGCAGTCATTCTCAACCGTGCAGAATATAGACTGCAGGTAAGGCTTTCAGGTAAAGTCCCAGCCTAGGGACAAAAACTCCAGGGTGGGGGTCCAGGCTGTACTTCTAGCTTCCGAACAACCCGCCTCCCCTGCAGAAGGGAGCCGGCTTCCACCTGGACCTCTTCTGTGTGGCTGTTTTGATGCTCTTCACATCAGCACTTGGGCTGCCTTGGTATGTCTCAGCCACTGTCATCTCCTTGGCCCACATGGACAGTCTTCGGAAAGAGAGCGAAGCCTGTGTCCCTGGCGAAGCCCCCCACTTTCTGGGCATCAGGTGAAGCCTATAAGCAGTAGGCTGGAGTGAGAAGGGATGTACGAGCTATTTGAGTAGCTTCAATTCTTAGCTTGTGGCCTCTAGGAGCTGCAGCGGACAAGTGGGTGGTGGATTCTGCACTTTGAGATGGGCAAGGAGCCTCCCAAAGAGCACTATAAATGTAAGGGTGAATGCAGTCAGGGCTAAAGTGGAGGGTGAGATACAGTCTCCACTCAATGTATGTTGCAAAGGAATCCATGACAAAAACAATTTTGCAACTCTTAGGAACGCAGTCTACCTAAAATCATGAAATTGACAAACTTGGTGAATTATGGTATGTAAGTCTTTATGGTAGTGAAAAATTGTTAATTTCCCACCTAAGTAAAAAATAAAAACAGCAGTTAGGCATAGTGGTGCACACATTTAATCCCAGCACTTAGGAGGCAGAAGCAGAGGCAGAGGCAGGCAGATCTCTGTGAGTTTGAGGCCAGCCTGACCTACAGAGTGAGTTCCAGGACAGCTGTAGAAAAGCCCTGTCTCGAAAAACCAAAAACCAAACCAAACCAAACAAAACAAAACAAGGATGAACCTGAACTGATGGAGAGGCCAGGAGCCCCATGCTGGAGTGCCCTGCCTTTCCTTTCCGTTTTTCAGAGCAGGCAAAGGCCCTTTGCCAGGTATCCTGCTGAGGGAATACCTCTTCTCTTCTCTGGCTGCCATGTCTGTACCAGGCCGGGTTAAGGTCTCTAGCCTGGGTGCTCTAGGAGCGTGCTCAGACCCAGCTAATTCCTCCTTCTCCCCACAGGGAACAGCGGCTGACAGGCTTGGCTGTGTTCATCCTCACAGGAGTCTCCATCTTCCTGGCACCTGTGCTCAAGGTGCGTGTTTGGCCAGGATAAGGGCCAGTACAGCAATAACAATAGAGCTGACACTGGCTGAGTACATGGTTTCAATTAATCCTCATGCTGACTAGCTCTAAGAGATACATATTCTACAAATGAGAAACCTGGAGGTTAAAAATATAAAGTAACTTGTAAGTGTCTACCAGGCATCCATTTCTCAAATTAAAACAAAACAAAAACAAAAACAAACAACAAATCCAGACTTCTGTAGCATGGTGGCTTATGCCTGTAATCCCAGAACCGGGAGTTGAGGCAGGAGGCTTGCTTCAAATTTCAGGTCAGCTTGTGTACACAGTAAGCTGCATGCCAGCTTGGGCTACAGTGTGAGACCCTGTCTCAAAAGAAACCAAAAAAACCAGGAGTCTGAGATGGCTCGGAGAATAAAAGCATTTGCTAACAAGCCCAAAGACCTAAGTTTGATACTTGGTCTGGTCTACATGATGAAGGTGAGAGATGATTCCAATAAGTTATTCTCCGACCTCCGTGCTTACACCCACACAGACACAGACACACTCAGAATGTAGTATCAATAACAACAAAAGACACCAAAATAGACCAGGTGTGGTCGTTTTATACTTGTAATTCAGCACTTGGGAGGCAGAGGATCAGGAGTTTGAGTTCAAGGCTAACCTCAATTATATAGCAGGTTTGAAACCATTTTGGTCCACATGAGACCTTATATAAAATCAAAAATAAAAAATATACCTAAGTTTTTGGCCAGTAGGATTTGTGTTCAGTGGACTAGGACGTGGCATACCATTACCCCCTGGGCTTCTAATACTGCCTTTGTTCCAGCCCTCCAACAAGCTTGAGTTTAAGTGAATATTCATATCCCAGAGAAACTGTGAGGCAAAAAACTTTACTCTTCCTCAAGGGTCACGAAACTTCTACTGGGTACCCCATTGTTCTTGGTACCTACAAGAGGGGAAGAGGAGAATTGAAAAGAGATGTGGAACTAAACTACCAGAAACTCACACATGCATGCACACATGAGCACACAAACACACACGCCCCTACACCGACATAACTAGCTAGCTCTAGAAGAAAAGCTCAACAAGCCAAGATAGCAAAGCAGTCAAGAAGGGTGTGGAAATGTCAGACAAGAGTCATTGGCAAGAGGACAAGAGGCAGGAGGTGAGGCAGGGCCGAGGTCACAGAGGCTGGGAAGAGTAGTGCAGTGGGACAGCCAGATGGACCGGATTAACCACTTGCTAAGTAGGCTAAGTCTCATAAATGGTGTGCCAGCCACTGTTGCCAGAACTGTCTCCATCCTCCTTGGAGTCTGCTGAGAGAAGACAGATTTTTAGAAGTTAAGGCAACAGGATAACTTCATGTGATAACTTCTATGAGAAAACAACATCGGATAAAGTGATTAAGAGTGCTAGGCCTGGCCTGGTCAGGGGTTCAGTGGGCAAAAGCCCTTGCCACGCAGGACTGACGACTGACCTGAGTGCAGTCCTTCGAACCTGTGGTGGAAGGAGAAAAGCCACCCCCATAAATTGACCTTTGGCCTCCATACACAAACTGTGGCACACATATAACAATAATAGTAAATAAGTATTTTAAAAGTTTTGCAAACAGCGCTGTGGCTACTTCAGACTGAGCAGACAGAGGAGACCTTTTCCAGGGTGAAATAAGATGAAGCATGAATGGATATGAAATCCAAGTATTTGATTAACTGATTGATTGATCCATTGGTTGGTTGGTTGAGACAGGGTTTTACTTTGGAGCCTTGGCTAGCATGGAACTTGCTACACAGACCAGGCTGGTTTTGAATTTATAGCCATCTTCCTGCCTCAGCCTCACAAGTGCGGGGATCACAGGTGTGTGACACAATACCCAGGCAAGAGGAACGTTTTAGGAGGAAAGAACAGTAAAGCAAAAGGCTTTGAAAGGCTAAGGAGCAAACGCTAGCACATGGATGGGGGTGGGGGAGGACAGTGTATGAGAGCATGTAGAGAAGAGGGAAAGGTGATGGGTAAGACAAGATATGGTGGCTCAATGTTGTAATCACAACATTCAGGAATAGGACAGGAGGACGTAAAGTTCTAGGCCAGCGATGCCAGTGATGGACTAAAAAGACTGCAGAGGCAGGCGAGGTAGGGACAAATTACTTTGTCTCTCGGTCTCCTCATCTGTCTGTAAAATGCAGAAAATGACAATAATTTATCTTATGTGATTGACGTGAAAAGACTTGATGAAATCAGGCATGTGAAATGTGAGAGGAAGAGAAAGGCCTGGAGGGCTCCACTCTGGAGGCCGAGGGTGGGCATCTGGGAGGCTGGAAGGTAAGTGTAAGCGCCTTCGCTGCCTCCCTGCTTTTTCCTGCTAGTTCATCCCGATGCCTGTGCTCTACGGCATCTTCCTGTACATGGGGGTGGCGGCACTCGGCAGCATCCAGGTGAGCTTGTCACAAACCACCCAGCATATCCCGCTTCTCCTGGGCTCAGGAGCTCTTCTGCCATGCTCTCGATGGGGAGGCCAAGGGAGCCTTCTTCCCTGCCCGCGGCAGTGCTTCTCCAAATTACCACTACGCCCTGCTATCTCTTCCTCTCATTCTCCCAGTTCGTGAAGAGAGTGCAGCTGTTGTTGATGCCAAAGAAACATCAGCCAGACCTGCTGCTCTTGAGGCACGTGCCCCTGGGTAGAGTTCACCTGTTCACAGCCATCCAGCTTGCCTGCCTGGGTCTGCTTTGGATAATCAAGTCTACCCCTGCGGCCATTATCTTCCCACTCATGGTAACTTGGAGGGGCTTGTTGAGTGGTTCTGGGAGACTCTGAGCAGAGGAGCGTGGCTGAAAAGCACTCCTCTCACTTATCTGGCTCTTCCTGGTTGGAAATCCTGAGGCCAAGAAAGATGGGCGGGGGGGGGGGATACTTACAGGAGAACTAATCGTAGGATAAGCGACTCACCAACTTTCCTAACTAATTTAGGCTGGTCTACAATGCCACCCCCCTCCCCTCCCAATAACTGAGATTCTTGAAGAGCAATGCTGGCACTTTGTTTCTCAGTGAGGCTTATCAGAGATAAAGAGCCACGGGCCACGGGCTTTGGACTAGGACCAACCTAGTCACCACATGTCGCGTGTGTGACCTCAGGGAATTTACTAATCTTTCAGGGCTTCAGTTGTCTTCTATGTGATGAGACTAAACTATAAACTGGGTACAGTGGGATTTTTTTTTTTTTTTTTTTTGCCTGTAATCCAAATACTTGGGAAACTGAGGCAGAAGGATCACATTGTGTTTGAGGCCAGCTTGAACCTCAAAGTGAGATCCTGTCCTAAAAATTAAAGCAAAACAAAGGTGGATGGGGTTGGTGGTGAACACCTGTGATTCCGGCACTCAGAGGGCAGAGTTCCAGGCCAGCCAGAGCTACACACTGAGCTAAACAGTGAGAATGTGTCTCAAAAAAAAAAAAAAAAAAAAAAAGGCTAGGCTTTGATGGTGCACACTTGTAATCCCAGCACTAACACTTGAGAGGTAAAGGGTCAGGAGCTCAAGGTCATCCTCAGCTACATTGCAAGTTCAAGGCTACTGAGCTACATAAAACCTTGTTTCAACAAACAAAGCAATATCAAACAAAGAAAAAAGGATCCAGTTCACAGAACTGTGTTAGCCCTCACTGGAAGTCCCAGTGGCTGATGCTGAGAGCCGAGGGATTTGCTTCTGCTTCTGCAGTTACTGAGCCTGGTGGGAGTCCGGAAGGCGCTGGAGTGGGTCTTTTCGCCACAGGAACTCCTCTGGCTGGATGAGCTCATGCCAGAGGAGGAGAAGAACATCTCTGAGAACCGGACGGAGCCAGAGCGCTTGTTGGGTGGAAATGACAGTGAAGACGTAAGCTGCAGGCTGAGTCCTTCTAAATGGAATGGGGGAGGGTTGAGAGATTGTTGTGCACAGCTGTCCCTAACGTCTGATACCTTCATTCAACCCGAAGGCCTGACCAACACAACCATTCCCTCTGTCTTTGAATCAAAATAGGCGGAATGAGGGGCTTAGGGAGATCTTCATCCACAGGCAGGGTTCTGGTTTAAGGGCCTGTGGAGGCAGAGCTCAGCACGCAGCTCCCTGCGCTATTCTCAACTGTGATCTTTGTTTTGTTTTGAATGCGGATTCACAGCCAGTTGCTCAATCCCTTTATTTATGCTTCTCTCTCTCTCTCCCTTTTTGTCTGTTCCCAAACTGTCTTTGGATGTTTCTTCCACAGTCGGAACTGATGTATCAGCCAAAGGCCCCAGAAATCAACATCTCTGTGAATTAGCTGGAGTCAGAGTGTGGAGAGCCCAGGAGACACCCACAAGGTGAGGGTGTGAGGCAAGTCAGCGCTCCTGGTGTTGAGGAAGGAGAGGTGGGGCGGGCTCAGATCTTGAAACCTCCTGTTTGCTGAATGGATATCCTGCTTTCCTACTTATATTCCGGTCCTTGAACTCTGCTGCTGTGGAAGGAAGTAGAAGGAACTTCCCAGAGGGAAGAATGAGTTCCCAGGGGTCGTTCTGAAGTTTTGCCACTAGAGGGAGTTAAAGCTTATTCCAAACCGATCCCAGGAGATGGAGGCGAAGAGGAGAGGGAGGGGTGAGATGTCCACTAGGAAGAGGAGGCAGAGGAAGGGAGAATACAGCCTATGCTTCTTTCCTCTGCCCGGGAGCTTCCGCCCTGCTAAGAACCATGCTCCCTCCATACAAGTGGAGGGTTCTCTCTTCCTTGCTCTCCCTGCATTTCATTTTATTCACCCATATAGCACTTCTGACTTCTATCAACATAGACAGCGCTGAGGAAAGCAACCATAGCCCCTGATCCCAGGAAGCTTGAAGTGTGGTGGGGGGAGAGTGCTGGATAAGGGAAGAAGCACACGCCTCGCGTGGAGGTGTGGGAGCAGTAAGAAAGGGTTTCTAGTCGAAAGTGGCCCGTAATTTGAAATCTGAAGAATGAATGGAAGTGAGTCAGGATAAGATGGAGGGGAAATTTTCTACGCAGAAGCCACACTGTGTACACGAGCCTAGGAGCTGAACTTTCCTTATGGGTAACAGGACGCCCTTCCACGCCTCTACTGGTCCAAGAACCTCCATCACTCGAAGTGGACTTTTTCTTAATTGAGAGAGTACTACTATATAACCCAGGCTGTCCTCCAACTTGTGACCGTCCTGCTTTATCCTGAGTGCTGAGAGTACAAGAGTGTGCCGCCATGCCTGGCTCTGCCTGTTTGAGGGTATGGGTTGGGGGGCTAAATAGAAAAGGACAATTCACTGACTAAGTCAGGGCAGCATCTCTCAGGCTTTCCCGGTCCCTTTTCCTTGCCCTGCTGTGTCCTTGAGCACACTTTGGGATCACTGTCTTCTCTCAGTTCACAGGCGTTTTACTCAGGAACTCAGAACATTTGTGGCCTTTGGCTTCACTGCTGGATGTTGCTGGCTGGGGATCTGGAATACTGATGCAGGATGGAAGGGCAGATGACAAAGACATTTGGAGCTGGGGGTGGGATGCAGCAGGGAGCCACTGGTTTGTGGGACCTTTTTTTTTTTTTTTTTTTCCTGAGTATCACAAAAGTTTATTTAGCAAAAAGTTTCATATGAAAATGTGCATGACCCAATTCTACATCACAATCAAACTGGCCCTTCAAGGAGGGATGTGGATACCTCTGTTGAACAGATGTCGTTTAGGCTCTTTCCAAGGCTTCTCACATGATGCTGCTGTCTCCTCGTATGACCACCGTTCGTTCTGTTGTTATTCTGCTGCCCACTAGTTGCCATCTCCACACACTCATCGATCACAAGATTCATATAGGGATCAAAGCCCCATAGTGTTCCTTGTACATGTCTGCTACCATTTGACTTTAATGATAACTTCCTGTCCATAAATGTCTTCAGTTCGGGAGGGTGGGCCTTAATCATGGCAACTCCTCAGTGGGCCTGGCATGATGTGGAAGGACCCTTTCTTTTCTTTTCTTTTCTTTTCTTTTCTTTTCTTTTCTTTTCTTTTCTTTTCTTTTCTTTTCTTTTCTTTTCTTTTCTTTTCTTAAGACTGAATTTCTCTGTGTAGCTGACTGTCCTGGAACTGACTTTGTAGATCAGGCTGTCTTCAAACTCAGAGATCCACCTCCCTCTGCCTCCCAAGTGCTGGGATTAAAGGCATGTGACACCACTGCCCAGCTAAGAAGTTTTTCTATTTTTAAATACTCACAAATCCTCTTTTTATAGCTTGTAGGGATCACCTTTTCTAGATGGCTCAGAGGTTAAAAATGCTGACTGTTCTAAAGGTCCTGAGTTCAATTCCCAGCAACCATATGGTGGCTCACAGCCATCTATAGTGAGAGCTGGTGCCCTCTTCCGGTGCACCTTTCCTATTTGCAAAAGAGAGGAAAAAAATGTCAGGTATGTGGTTCACATCTGTAATCTCAACACTTAGTAGACTGAGGCAGGAAGACTGCCACAGATTCAAGGCCAGTCTAAGTGTGAGACTTTGTCTCAAAAAGGGGGTGGGGGAGTCTGGGCATGGCTGCACACGCCTTTGACCCAGCAGAGACAAGTGGATTCTATGAGGTGAAGGCTGGCCATCAGCCTGGTCTACATGGAGTTCCAGGATGGGCAGCATTATATGGAAAGACAAACAACAAAACAAAACAAGACAAAAACCTATCCTTTTTTCCAGAATAGGTATTCTCTCCCTGACATTTTTTTTATGAAGATAAAAAAAAACTTTATTGTTTTATTGATTACAAAAGTAAATGAGGTTATCTTAAAATATTGAAACAGTACAGAAATTTATAATTTTGAAATTGAAATTTACAGGCAATAACCACTGCCTATATTTTTGTGTTTGATGTTAAAATTTATTTCAGAGCTAGGTGAGGTGGCCCACACCTGTAATCTCAGCACTGGGGAGGCTGAGGTAGGCAGATCTCTGTGAGTTCGAAGTCAACAAAGTAAGTCCAGGTCTACAAAGTAAGTCCAGGACAGCCAGGGCTACACAGAGAAACCCTATCTCAACAAACAAACAAACAAACAAACAAACAAACAAACAAAAAGATTTATTTCAGTGAACAAAATGGGGTTTATTAAATTGAATTATACTATGGATTTTCATAACATTCCTGTTACTTAATATTTATTGGGTATTTTCTCAACATATATAGCTATCTCATTCTTACTATCTGTTGTCTTACTTGCTTTTCTATTGCTGTGATAAAACACCATGACCAGAGAAACTTATAAAAGAAATATTTAATTTGGGGCTTCCACTTTCAGAGACTTAAAGTTCATGACCATCACAGTGAGAAGCATGACAGCAGGCAGGCACTGGCAGAGTAGCTGAGAGCTCACACCTTGACTTACAAGCTCAAGGCGGAGAGAGAGAGAGACTCAGAAGGGGTCCAGTTTTTTGAAACCTCAAAGCCCACCGCAACGGGGCATGATGGCACAGCCTTTAATCCCAGGACTCAGGGAGGCTGACGAAAGCAGATCAATGTGAGTTTGAGGCCAGCCTGATCTACAAAGCACAGGTCAGCCAAGGCTACAAAGAGAAACCCTGTCTCAAAAAACAAAACAAAATAAAATAAAACAAAACAAAAAGCCTACCCCTAGTGACACACCTCTGCCAAAAAGACCACACCTCCTAATCTTTCCCAAACAGTCCCACCAACCAGGGACCAATATTCAATATATGAGCCTGTTGGCTATTCTCATTCAAGCCACAATATCTGCAAAAGACAAATAATTTTATAAGTTGAAAAAGGTAAGAAAGAGTATACAAAATGTCTTCTGCAAGTACAAGGATTTCTATTATGTATACACTTAGGAGTGGAATTAAAAAATAATGAGTATGAAAATACCACAATGAAACCCATCATTTTGTAGGCAAACTTAAAAATTTACATATTATATATATTTTTAGGGACTGGAGAGATGCCTCAGCAGTCAAAGAACACTTGCAGCTCTTCCAGAGGACTTGAGTATGATTCCCAGCATCCATATGGCAGCTTATAACTGTCCTTAACTCCAGCTCCAGGGGATGCCACACTCTCTTCTAGCCTCCTTGAGCACCAGGCATGCAAAAAGTATCCTTAAATACATGTAGACATAAAGTAAAAATAAATAAATCTTTAAAAATACTTTGTCAATAATTCAAAAGAAAAAAAAAAAAGAATAATGAGCCAGGTGGTGATGCACACCTGAAATCCTAGCACTGGAGATGCTGAAGTGGGAGGATTGAGGGTTTGAGGCCAGCCTTGGCCACAGGGTAGGCTCATGGCCAGCCTTAGCTACATAGCAAGACTCTGTCTTAAAACACCCAAACCAAAGAAGAGCAGCTAGTAACAGTGAAGGGGATAGGGATGGGGATGGGGCTCAATGGTAGAGCTCCTGCTTGGAGAACACATGCTCCCCAGATACTCCTGTCCTCAAAGAGAGCACCAATGAACTGAATACTATGTTAAAAATAAGATATTTTAACCTGGGGACAGTCGTACACTTCTGTAATTCCAGCGCTCGGAAGGCAGTGGCAGGAGAATTAGGAATTCAACTACATAGTGAGTTTGAGACTAGCTTGGGTCATATAAGATCCTGTTTCAAAAACAAACAAAATAAAACACAGGACTGGGGCCACCATAGCTCTGCCCCAGATCTCATTTCAACCTCTGTGCCTGGGTGCTCAGAGCTGGGCAGATTGCTGAGGGAGCTGCCTAGAAACCTGGGGCAGCCTTTAGTCTTCCTGACAGGGCTGGGGGAAGGCATGCTGTGTGTAGGAGCAGCCTTAAATGTACACCCTGGAGTTCAAAGACCTGGTTCTCAGTCTGATGCTGTCATACACTTCTTGGGTGTCCTTAATGAGGGCCTTGTCTCTGAGTCTCATGGAAATAAAGACGGTTGAGTGGATGATTCCCAATATTCAAATCTTCTTTCAGTAAGCTATGGGAGACTGTTGGAGCTGCCCCAGATGTTCAGGTGACATTCTCTAGCAAGTAGTAAAGAGATTTATCTTTGCTGGTATAGTGGTGGATGCCTTTGATCCCAGCACTTGGGAGGCAGAAGCAGGAGTATTCCTGTGAGTTCAAGGCCAGATGCTCTGAGAAGTCCTGTTTCAAAACAAACAAAATAAATAAATATAAGTCAATAAATAGTAAGGGCTGGTAAGATGCTTGCTGGATAGAGGCGCTTGCTTCACCTGAGTTCAATCAACTGGACCTACATGGTGCAATGAGAGAATCAAGTCCTCTGACAGCCATATGCATGTTGCGGCATGTGCATGCATGTGTACATGCTCGTGCAT